AAGAAGAAACTTCAAGAGTTACTTATACTAAGATACATGGGAATGAACTAGATCACTCTCCAACACATCTTCATCCTCTTCATGTAGAGGTAGTCTATAATCCTGACAGTAGGTGTTACCTACCATCAAAGCATCAGGAAAAACAAAATAAAATGGTGAAAAAACCAAAGGTTTAGTTCTGGAGGCAGGGGGAGGAGGGGGGGGTGTTCACCTCCAGCATGTATTGAATATCTTATTATTTATCTTATAGCAAACATTCCTGTTGCTTTCTCTATGCTCAAAAAGTTTGAAATTCTCTCTGTGATGTCTGATGATGCCAATTCAATCAGGATCTCATTTGAACAAACAAATTCAAGAGGTTAATTAGTATTTAAAAGTGACCCTTTCCTTTAAGAAAAGCAACATTAAGTGTCTTATTCAATCTTCTGCTTATTCCTTAAGATCTAATGGTATTTCTATTTTCTTAACTTCAATCTTACAATACATCTGGTTGTTTTTCCCTCTCTTTTTACACAATGCAGTTCTTTAAAAAACCTCTAAGAAAAAGATCTTTCTCTTTTAGCTTATCTGAAGCCAAGTTGACAAATACCATAATCACTCGAGGGCACTTTTTATGTCCTCTGTGTAGTCTGTAATAATAAAATTATCTCACTGCCTTAAAAGACCTGGCAGCTCTTATGCTCTTCTCTTCTAACTGGTCCTCCATCATTGATTTAGCCTTCCCTTTACAAGAACCACTCTTCAGTGATGCTCAGAGAAGAATGACCTTGTCAGACCAAACCCAGGCATTTGCCATATAAAATACCAAGAATGCCAAAAACTCCATATCCATTTCAATACAAAGTACAGCAGCTTTTCCAGTACATATTTATTTGCTTAAATTAATACAATACATCATACATGCTTTTACTATTGAAATAGAAAGCCAGAAACTAAAGATTCACATATAGTTGGTTCACTTCATGAGCTGTGGCTTTAAACAAGAACTCAATGTTCTACATGAAATAAATATGCAACATATTATTTGAAAAATCTGTTAGGAGTACAAAATGTTAGCTCTGTTACATCTTGTTCAGCTAAGCAGACATGACATTTTCAAAATGTTAATAACGATTAAAACTTCTAGGAATAATAAATACGTACTTATATTACTTCTTAACTGTACACTCAAAACAGCAGAGTCCAGCAGCACCATATGAAGACAGAAATCAAAGAATAGGTAGTAGACAAACACAGAGTTGTAGAAAGGTGGGTGCAGTAGCATTACTTGGTCTTTCCAGTAACTGTTTTACAGGAAACAGCACAGGATAAACTTTAATTATGATATCAATCACAAAGTATTTTACTCTTTGAGCTTCTGAACACAGAGCACCTGGCTTTTCTGTCACAAAGTGAAGGCTGTCTGGCAGCCAGAAAAACTCAGTTTCACAACGAGATGGCCGAGCCCTTATTACCAGACTGAAAACAGTTAATCCCTTTGCTCCAAGGTCACATTCAACTTCACTTTCCCTGTAAATATGTTGTCTATCTTCACCCTTAAACTTTACTAGCCCATATTTTGGATTTTCCTCCACCTACTCTGTGCTCCAAAGTGTCTTGCAGAACTCTCCCTGCTACCCTCAACATCAGAAAAGCCCCTAACTAAATTAACCACATGCCTACACTTGCCCAAACTCTCTATCGTAGGGCAAATTTATCTTTTCTTCAGCCTGACTTCTGGAAGCATCTCAGCTGTGCAAGTTTGTAGCCATTCTTATTTGCTGTAATGCTCTCTGAAATGATGAAACAAGGCTGTATAAACAATGCAGGGAAATGGTATAGATGTGCTTTTACGGAAAGGTGGTGGAGACTGGGCTTTAGTTTTATGTATGCCCATAAACTGAAAACCCACATAATATTGAACAGTAGTAAGATAAAGACTTTTTTTTTTTTCCACAGCATAGCTAGAAGACAATAGATAAACTCACATTAGGAAAGAGAAAAAGAAGAAAATATATCCCCCAATGTCCAGGACACAGGCAGTGTCTCTACTGGACTTCTGAGCCTCTACACAAGGCAAAATAAGGAAGCTAATCCCTTGAAAATTACAAATGGGAAATAGCTTCATTATGAGAGCAAATTTTGAATGCTATAAAGCATTTTCAAAGCTATTAAAAAGCAAAGGCTGTTACTGTCTGTTCCCAAAGCGGTGCCAATGTAAATAGTGTGAAAATAACTTATGTTTGAAAAGCAAGGTGCTTCACAATGAAGGCTGTTATTTCACTTTTAATTTGTCCCTTGAGGCCTCTTTGTAACAAGTGTCTCAGACCCATCTACACTATGTTCTACAGTAGGGACGACTGTCATCTCCTAACCACTGCTTGGGTCACCTGTCACTGTCTTCTTATCTCAGTAATAATATTGTTTGTAATTTCTTATTGATAACTTATAGTTTTAAATTAGGCTTTTATTATTCTGACATGAATTAGACTTGCGTGTTTAAGAATTAGCTTAGTATGACTTTGCGTCTGGGCAGAATCTTGAAGTCTCATTGTGAAGAAATATTCTGCTTTCTAGTAAAATGCGATGGAAAAGGGTTCACATTATGAATTACTTGCAAAGAGTATCGCCATTCTGGGACTTTTTTCTAGCCATCTCTATCTGGTTGTCCAGTACTTCTGCTCCAGTGACAACTGCACCTGCAGAAGTGGGTAAATTGACTGCAGTGAGTGTGCTGAAGGAGTCTGGATTAACCATTTAGACAACCCAGAACTGTCTTCCTTTCCTAACGATACAGATGGCACATTCTTTTACAAGGTCAGAAAGGAAACTCCAGTCTGCATGCTTCCAGTAGACATAGTTTTTGCAGTTACATAATCACATAATCACAGAATTTAGGTAAGAAAAGACTTCTTAATATCATGAAGTCCAACCTTTCAACAATCACCAACTGGTCAAATAGACTAAGTGCTACATCCAATAATTTCTTGAACATCTCCAGGGATGTCTGACTTGTTGCCCTTTTCTGGACATGCTCCAGAACCTCAATGTCTTTCTTGGAGTGAAAATTGACATAGGATTTGAGGTGTGGCCTCACCAGTGCTGAGTACAGGGGACAATCCCTGCCCTGCTCCTGCTGGCCACACCATTGCTGGTCCAGGCCAGGATGCCATTGGCCTTCTTGGCCACCTGGGCCCTGCTGGCTCATGTTCAGCCGCTGTCAGCAGCACCCCCAGCTCCTTTTCCTGTGGTAGCTTTCCAGCCAGTCTGCCCCAGCCTGTGGCACTGCCTGGGGTTGCTGTGACCCCAGGGCAGGACCCAGCACTGGCCTTGTTGAACCTCACACCATCAGCCTCAGCCCATGGATCCAGCCTGTCCAGATCCCTCTGCAGAGCCTTCCTGCCCTCCAGCAGATTAGCACTCTCACCCAGCTTGTGACATCTGCAAAGTGACTGAAGGGGCTCTCCATCCCCTCATCCAGATGGCTAATAAAGATATTAAACAGGGCTAGGCCCAATACTGTCCCCTGGGCAGCACCACTGGTGACTGTCTGCCAGCTGCAGTTAACTACATTAATCACCACTCCCTGGGCCTGGCCACACAGCCACATTTTCACCCAAGCAAAGAGTTCATCCGCCCAAGCCACAAGCTGTCAGCTTTTCCAGGAAAATGCCATGGGAGATAGTATGAAAGGCTTTGCTGAAGCCCAGATAGAATACATCCTATGATATTAGTGGCTGGGAGCTGAACTCTGCTGAAAATGTCTCCTTCGCTCCATTTGTCTGGACTGCAATTGATATGTAATTCTTTGTTTCTTTCTTGATAAGGATTGTCTAGCTGTCCCATAGCATTCTCCAATTAATAGACAAGATTTTGCAATGGAAGGGCTGTGTACTTTCCTGTTTTACACACCACAGGACTGAAGGACTTGCTAAATTCCACCCACTTGTATGATTACCTTTCTAGAAATTGCGAAGAGATTCACAGTTCCTTGCTTCTTCTTTTTATCATGTGAACTAATATATCTGGAAATGTGGAGTGGACTGGTATTGAACTATGCACAGCTGGAAACTACACCATCAAGAGGGAGACAATTCTAACAGTTAGAGACTCCCAGCTCTTGGCTGCACACATGCTCAAATGGGAGCTTTTGTCTGGTAGAGACAAGCTAGTGCCAAGAAGTTAACTGAAAGAGTTGCTCCTATTTCTGAGGGACCATCCACTAGACCGTGCTGAATTTCTACCCAATCATTTCCCCTATAGTATAAGAAATACATTTACACTCATTATTTTAAAACTTTCCTTACTTTTTTGCTTGACCACAATGTCTACCTTGAAAGAAAGATGGCTACTTTTTTAATAGGCATTGTCTTACAGCTAAAGCAAGGAAGAGGAATGTTTATGATAGAACAGTTAATCCCTGAAGAAACATTACCATGTACCTCTAGAATACACCTCAAAGACTTATAAAATTCTAAAGTGACCTATCTTCCAGTTCAATCTGGCATAACATTTTTATTTTAAAAAATATGTACATCGGACATAGAATTAATTTAGAAGAGTCACCTGGATGTTACTCTTTCTGTTACCAACAGCTTTTTCTGCATGAATTTCTGCATATGTTATACCATGTTTGGTTTGAGCCTTGAAAAAGGAAAACACTGCCTGTAGCCTTGGAAAACACTGTATATAGCCTTGGACTACACAAACCCAGTTATATGAGAAATAAGGACTTTGTCCTGTGAATGCTGCTTAACTGGTAGACATGAAGATCATTAATTGGAGAGGTGTGTGTTTTCTTATAGGGGCAGAGAGCTACAGCTACATGACGTGTCTTAGCAAGCCATAAAAGCAGACTACTATATTTAATTATAACTTGCAATACTGAGAGCATGATTGCAATGTATTTCAAATCAAGAACTTGGCAGGTAAGTGAAGAAGGAAGTAATATTTGGAAGAGATGTACCATATGTATGGATTTTAACCTTTTGAGCTGGGATATCCAAAGTACATAGGACAAATTTTATGATTAATTAAATTTTTATTTCCACATAAGCAATAGAATGATGCAGGGCTGCTTTTTGTCTTTCTTGAAGATATGGGAACTAATATGCTGTTCAAAGTATTCATGTAATTAATGAAAAGTTTAGTGAAAAGTTTAATGGAATATGCTTTTCCCGTATTGGTTACAATAACTGTATGGGAATCAGGGATGAAAAGCTGAGTTTGATGCCATAATAACAGCATGAGTGAAATTTGTCTGAAAGGCCTGCAGCTTACTGCTCAAGAAGTGTTTAATAAGAGAAGTTTTCTGACTTTAATAAGAGGAAGGCTTTTCTCTGTGAGGTACTGTTTGTTCTATAAGGGTAGTTTTTACCTTCTGAAACAAAAATTGACCAGATCTGTGTATTTCAAAATTATCCTTACTAGTAATGATAAACTGAAAAGATAAATGGTAAAGCTGCATAATTTTTTCTATTAAATGACTGTGTTATGTGTAACTATGGCAAGATTGTGAATGCTGCATGCTGATGCTGCCCTGTACAGGTATTGGTCCAAGTAGGCAGCAGAACAAAATGTTAACACAATCTATGCTATTTCACTTCAAGAATTTCTGAATATTCCCATACTGGCTGAAACACAGCAAAGCATGAACATTCCTTGTGCCAGGGAACTAACTTTTGTAATAAATTCCAGTCCTTTCAAAGCCTTACAGAACTGTCCTTTACAGCCTCCCAAGACATTAGTTTTTCTTATTATTTTGTTTCACATTTCTCATTGTAAGTAGTTGCACTAAGAGTCACTTCAGTAAAACAAAGTGTCTGGACTGTGTTAGTTCTGAATGTTGATAGCATTTTCATGCATGCCATGTTTAATAGTATTCCGGCTTATAATGTGAAATACTTTGTATTTTCAGGTATTTTTGAGGCATATGGTTAGAAGTTTTCATATATATTCAGTCAGATAATAAATCAGATGCTAAAGTATGTTGCTTTCTGCTAAGTAGAAAATTGGATGTAAGTATCTATCCCCATATAATAGGAAGTAAACTTCTGTACCCAACCCATTGTCTGTTATACATTAAATGGATAAATATTAAAGTGTTATTTTTCAAGATCTATTACATCTCTTGGTAACCTCAAGCTGCTTAATTCTTTTAATGTATGTGTTTTACCCTAAATTATTTTTAATAATTTGGCTTATTTATTTCTAAATACTACTACAGACTTCCAGGCTTTAGTAGCTTACAATTCATGTTAAAATCTTATGTTACCATTATGTTACCATTTTCCAGCTGTATTTAAAATGTCCATTTTAAATGCCTATAAGCATTGTTTGTTTTTCCATTTTTCTTTCCAGCAATTCTTTCAAGCTCTTGTTCCTGTGCTTGAAATACACATAATCAGAGAGAGAGTGACCAAGTCTGGCCTTTTCAAAAGATCTAAAGCCGAGATGTTCTTTGTTGTTTGTAAGCTCTCCCTCTCCACATCTCTCCTCTTTGTCTGCATTTCCTATTCTCTTCCCCAGTCCTCCCTCACTTAACACCTCTTCCTTGTCATTGCAGTAGGACTCTCTGAAGTCCTTCATCATGCACTCAGGTTTGCCAGAGAGATCTTGAGCCATGTACAGCTTGCTGTCATCATGATGGTATGTGGCAGGGCTGTATTGCTCTGCCTCATAGCAGTTGTCTTCCTCTTCTTCCTGGCATGAGCTTCCCTTGGCACTCTCACCATCAGAATGAAATGAGATTCCCTTCCCTTGGCTTTTCTGGGATAGATCAAATGGCTCTTCCTGTTCCAAGCTTCTCAAGACATTTGTCTGGGACAGAGCAATCCTTCCTCTTCCAAAACCTTACAGTGGGTTTGAGGGAAGGAGAAAAGGAAAAAATTATATATAGGAAATTTTACTACTTGATACATGGCTAAAAAACCAAATTCTGAGGTGTCTTTGTTTTACCTTTGTCTTCCATCCAGCTATCTCCAAGTACTTCACTGTTTACATCTCGTGGCATCTCCTTCGAGATGCTGCAAAAAGGAGTGCTATTGTATACACTTCACAGCCAGGTTATGACACACAAAACATTGTTTTATACAGCCAGCCTCTGGATGATGCAGGTGGGAAGAAAAGTGAAATGGTCTGGCCTTTTGTAAACTGAATTTTGCCTATCAACCTACTCACTTCCTCCTTCCTATACTTTTTCTAAACTAAAACTTGGATCTAAAGAATCACAGTCTTGGATTCTAAAGAATTCAAGTCCCAGGTTTTGTATCTTATGTTTCAGAGGAGTGGAAGAGACTAAAAATATGGTAATGTATTTGTTCTATGGACACCACGGTTCAAAGTTAATATTTTAAAAATTAAACACAACAGTCTCAGCAGTCTATGACTCTCCTTAATTTTTCCCTTTTCATCCACTGAGAAACAATCACCTGAAAAGCTCTATGCACTAGGCAGTGCTTCGTAAGCAGATCCATTGAGGATTCCATCCCCGTTCCAGACTGGAATCCAATAAGCTGTGAGAAAGGATCATAGGTGTTTGAGATTTTCTTTTTCTATCAATTTAGGATTAATTTTTGGTTTATTTGGGACATGTAACACTGCCATGTAATGCTATAGCAATATAGCTAATAACAGCTTCACAGGCTTATGGGATTCTGGCTCTTGCAGTAGCATTGGATCTATGGCACAAGTTTGTGGATCTGTAGTACAAAGCCCATTTGTGTTTATTGATATGCATATTCAGATCTCACAGAGAATAATCTTGCTGAAAATTATTACCTTGAGAGTGAAATCCTCTTTCCATGACCCCATGTTTGACTTTCATGTGCCTGGTTAGGTTTCCTTTCAAGGTGAATTTGCTGGGACAGTAGAGGCACTTAAACGGCTTACTATCTGAGTGCAAGTGCATGTGGCCCATTAAATTGTGCATTCTGTTAAACTCCTTTCCACACAGCTGTAAAAATGGTTAAAATGAAAATTATTAGTTTGAAGCAGTATTTTCAAGGACAACATTTTTAAAGGAAAGAGGACCTACACTTCTCAACTTAAACTCTGACAGTTTTAGACTGCAATATATTTTTCCAAGTTCCTACAGGCAAAAACATATGGTTGAGTATCTAAGACCCTCTGAAGTGTTGACATCTCTTAATATTGGTGATCAGCACACATAGTCCAGGATTGCCTAAAAGCAGTCAATGTTGTTGTAAGGAGGGGAAAGACTTAAGGGACTAATCTGGATGGCTCTTGACTTGAATGAGATTCAAAGTAAAAGTTTCTGCCCGGGTGAACCATTCCATTTGTAGTTTATACATATAGCCTTTAATCACCCACAATGTCAGGCAAGAATGGAATTATAAAATAAAACCAATTAAGGGTTTCTGTGAAACAGTCAAGCAGAATATTATTTCTTTTTAAACGGAAATAAAATGGCTGCACATTTTTCTTAAAGCTAGAAAAAGCAATTCCTTGTTTTTTTGTGTTTCTTGTTCACCCCCTTATTTTCGCTGATTCTTTCATCATTTGTTTATCAACTCCTGTGTTTCGGTATCTCCGGAGAGTAAGCTGCAATTTAAACAGTCATTTTAACAGGCTGCAAGAATGACTCAGCTTTCCCTGAAGCATGTTCCTGCCAGCTCAAGCCATTGATCGTGCAATTCTTCCTTTGATGGAACAATATGGGTGGGTTTTATTCATTGTTGTTTATTTAGATGGGTCCTTTTGTAGTCTGAACTCTTATGTATTATTAAGACATGAGAGTTTGACATCACTATTGGAGGCATCCAGTCTTACTTGTCTTTTGGTCTTTCCTTACCAGGATTTATAATTTTATTCACATTCAAGTGGCTATTTCCATCCTTTGCAAACTTCTGTGCTTGCTTTCTACATTTTTTTTCCTGACTTGTTTTATCATTGGATTTTAATTTTTTTTCAATTATTCATATTACTATATGAACCAGCATCACTATTACTGAGTAACTGAAACCTTCATCTAGCAGGGTCACTATCTGGCAGACAATTAATAAGTAGTAGTTACTAAGACTCCACCAGATTTATTTGTATAATCTGAATTCAGATTTTACTTATTTGGTATTGCAGAAGAAGTGATAAATCACTTGTAGATGTAAATTCAGAAAGTCATCACCTGGAATATCTGGATGAAATATAAATAGTGAAAGGATCCTAGGAAAAAAAGTACTGTATGCTTTGTGTTTTAAGACCTCTCTTGAGGGAAAATTGAATCAGTTCATTAACACAAAAATTAGCAAGTTTACTGTTTTAAAATAAAAACTACAGCTTAGTCAGTGCTTCAAAAGAGTCTGAAAACATCCACTTGTTTTTCAAAAAATTATTTGCTTCAGCTGCATAGGTCCATTTGTGTTTTTCTGTCTGTGATTTTACTAAAATGAAAACTCTAGCAAATAAATTTATCAGTAAAGTGTTAGACAAAACAGTTGGTGGAAAAAAAGAATAGCCATTGAAAGTGAGTAATTAATTTGAAAAAGTAAGATAGCTATTTCCAAGGGTCATCCATCCACTGAGGAAAGAATACTGTCTTCTTCATGTTCAAAGAAAGTTAATATGCAGGATTATTTACAGTCAGAGGAATGATGGAACCTCCAAATACCTCAGAAAGTGCTGGGAGGAATCAGACTCTCATCTACTGAGACTACTAATGAGCACAGAAAATTTGCAAGGAGTAACAGCAGCTGAGTATATCTTGACAGCTGCTGGAACAACCTGTAACATTACTCTTGCTACAAGAACGTCAACCATAATATCTCTCTAATACCTCTTTGCTGAAGGCTTCTGGTTATCTGCTTGTATTATGGCTGACATATGTTACCACCAGAACTTGCTTTCCTATATCTAGGTCTTCTCTACTCATGTTAAGTAGATGAGTGGCTTCAGTACTGCATGCAAACACTTATCTTCATAAGGTCTGGAGTGTTAAAATTTATTTACAAGGCGCATTAAGTTGATTTCTGTCAAGGCAATATTTGTTTCTCTTTCTTCTTATTGAAAAGACAAGGACTCAGTAAAGGTTATTTACAGCATAAAAGTTCTGTGTCTGAATAAAGTTGATGGGTTTTCCATTTCCCAAAGGCAGGCACATCTTCAAGATATGTAATGTGTTCTTGTCCTGAAATCTCCTCTGGGGACATTAGGAAATGGTTCTAGAGTGCAGAGGCGTGGCAGAAAAATTAAAGAAATGCAGACAGGAAAATTGTTTTTCAGAATGATGGGTCTCTGTGGCATAATCTCCGTTTTACTGATCATTTCAAAAAGGCACAAGACACCTTTCAGATGAATATCTATGATCCAGATGTAAAAGGAAGTAGGTTTCTCACTTGTATGCTGGAAGACTGCAATTCAAATCTAGCTGGAGTACACAGCTAATGCTCAATTAAGAGCTTGAGTCTGCAGATCAAACTAGACAATTTTACAAGATTTTCTTTCTCTCTGACATGACAGGCTTGTAAGCAGAGTGCAAAAGATGACCCCGAGACAGTTCCATGGGAGGAGCTCCAGAAGAACCCACTGCACCATAGCGCTCAGGGAGATGAGAAGTTTATGCAAGAGAACTTGGGATATTGGGAAAAACACAGCTTACTTGTGGACTTTCTGTTAGGCTGTCTAACAAAATAATGTTAGACAAAATAAAATTAAAGCCTTGAAGAGAACACCTCATCTGCAAGTCTGTGCACAGACTCAGTTGCACTGCTGATGAAATGGAGTTTAGTATAGTTTGCTAGAATAATCTACATTAGTTGTACCCTATATTTTTTCCTTCTAAGCCAGCACATGAAGTGTCATCCTTCCAGATTTGTCATCAGTTTTGTTTCTTCTCGAAGTACTTCTCTCTCACATTTTCTTTGATTTTGACTCCTGTTTAAAAACCACATTTTTTAGATGGGGAAAAACATGGTGTTCAAAACATCTGTTGCAGATATTTGTCTGGGCTGAAGAAAAATCCATTGCATCCTTTATTGGAGGTCTGAAACATTGCTTACTTCAGCACTAAAAGCAACAGTAAATTTCATTGAACCTTTCTCTACAAATCCAAATTACTGCTGTTGCACCAGTTGTTGGAATACCTTCGTAAGTCTTCAGATTTTGGGGTTTTTTTCTTAAACAGTAATAAACAAGACAACACAGGCTAAGGCCTTTGAATGCTACAGACAAGTTCACTCTTCAGCAGAAAATCAAACAGAGATCCAGGCTGCAGCTGGGTGAGGAAACAGAAGGGACAACTATTTGCTACTCCCTCACTTCTGATAGTATGTGCTTAGTTGTGATTAGACACATAGGAAAGCTCATGTTTTCTTTTTCTGTGAGAAAAAGGTAAAGAAAACCATTGCATGCGGTGAAGTATAAAGGCTACTGCTGTGCTCTCTTTCCCTTGTATTCTTCTTCTTCTTCTTTTTTTTTCTTCATAAGAAGGGTGTTCCTTTCCTCAAAGAAAGAAGGAGAGGGAGAATGACTGTAAACTGTCCAAAAGGACCGTGAGAAAACAGGAAGCTTTGAAAAGTACAAGAGAAAGCAAGATGAAATCTATTTGCAGGCGGTTCCCCGGGGACATGTGAGCCATTGTTAAGCAGGCTGTTCATACAGCTATATCCTTCCTTCTGCTGAGGAGGAGCTTGGTGCCAAAAGGCTGCTATCTGGTCATTGCCTTAACCCTCCAAGTACCAGCTAGAAATATTTGCTTTCAGGAGTCTTTGGGAGCTGTCAGAGAGGTAATGTTAGGATGTTACTAATGCAAAAAAGTAATTCTCGATTCTGCATCTGCTTATTGTTGCAATCTTCACTGTCAGGGGCAATGATGCTGGTTCATGCCCCTTCAAACATATGAGAAACAGATTCACTATGCTTACTTGTTTCTTTCCTCATTGGAACACTGGGTGGGGACAGAAAAGTAAAAAAATAAGAAAAACAGGTGTTCCTGTAGAGCTTTTGTTACTGTCTGGAAAACATACTGGTGATACTCCACTTCCCAGTTCCAACTATTGCCCTCTCCAAGTTTCAATAGTCTGTCATCATCAAACACTAAGCTGAACACAACCTTCCAGCTAATCTGCACGTACCAAAAAGTCTACATACTGCACCCACAAAATCTGATCCAAAATTTGAGATTATTTTCTGAAGTTTGAGGAGTCAGAGAAGGACTTCAACCAAATGGGAACAACAGGCTGGTTTGCAGATGTTCTCAAAGAATGAAAACCTCCAGCAGACCTGACTTGTTACACCCTAAGAATTTCAGTAAAATTAATTATTTTATCAACATAAAGAAATGTAAGCAGTACTACACAACATACTACTTTCATAATACATACATTAAAATAAAACAAAATACTGAAGTTGGAAGACGTTGCTGCTAGTTTTTCAAAGTATAATGTTGTGAAGTTAAGAAAGAAAAATCATGCAGTCAGAAAGATTAATTTTGATGTTTTCTTATATTAATTGTATTCTTTAACTAAAACTAGTGCTGAATATCATATATTCCTATGACATTTTGAAATTCTACATTTTTTCAAGACAAAATAATTCCATTTAAAATTTTTCATCCATCTCCGCTTCTTCATAAGTTCCTTTTAAGAAAATATTCAATACCATATATATATATAGGATGCAAGAGTTATAGAAATTGCTTCCAAATCAGGCTTTACTTACTTATGCATAAGTAATATGCTCCACTCTGTATTTACAGCCATCTTAGAACAAATTAAAGGGGGAAAACATCTACAGCCTTTGACTTTGTAAAGCATGACTACAGTAATAAACCAGATAGGCAGCAAAAGAACTTATGCAGCATCCAATACTGAGTAAGAATATAGATATGAATAATTAATAAGAAATATATTAGAAGTAAGCAGGGTCAATAAAGTCTTAAAGGTCTATGGGGAGGGAGGAGAAGAGAGATAGAAAGGGAATGCCAGCCTCCAGTGCTGGGGGAAAGTGGCAAACTGGAATTTGCACAGGATAGTAGAAAGGCCAGGTGGTCTCAGAGGCTGTTTTGTTCGCATACTGATATCCTGCCTTGAATTCCAGTCTGGTAATTACACTCTACCCATTCAAATCCCTTCTGTAGTTTTATTTTGCTGTGGCTTGTTCTGACTCCTTTCTTGAACTGTTGCATAGCATCACTGCGTGAAATTGTAGCTGCTGCTTTTTCATGATCCTCTGCAGGATGCATGACTTGATTTCTGCTTTTTGTCAGTGTTTCAAGCTATTAAGCACTTAAACTTCTGTTTGGAAGCTTGTACTAAGCAAATGTCAGATATGTTTACTGTCCTCAAATGTCTGTGACACTTAAACAATCACAGGGCAAAAAAACCCTCCAAAACTATGTGAGGATGAATGATCCTGAAGGGAAAGGGAGTAAACCACAGGCATTTATCTCCATTATTTTGTGCTACACAAGCAGAATCTGGATAAAGAAAGAAAATCAGACTAGTTTATGTTAATTTTTTAATACAAGTGCAGTATGTGTTAGCAAGTTTTGTTTTTCTAATTCTAATATTTTTTTTAATTCTAATTCTAATATGATAAGATGACAATATCAGAGAAATATACTTTAGGGTAATACCTCTGCCACCAAATGCACTCACCTTGCATTTAAAGGGTTTGACATCAGAGTGAACAATCATGTGGGCCTTGAGAGTCTGCTTTTGCACAAAGCTCTTGAAGCACAAATGGCATTGATAGGCTCTGATATTGGTGTGGATCAGCACATGTCGCTTCATGTTGGCCAGCAGAGTAAATTCCCGGCCACAAATTCCACATTTGTGCTCTTTCACACCCTGAAAGAAAAGAAAAATTCTGTAGTGGAAAATTTTCTAGGTAATTTAATTGTCAGTACAGCAACTTATGAATTATTCATTCTGCATTAGCAAAGTCGATAATAAATTATTTCTCTTTTAACATTTTTGAAGGTATTTTCTCCTGACAAATTCTTACAAGCTTCTGAGAAGCAAAGAAGTAAAACAAAATGTAAGCTTAATGAAATAATGAAGCCTTTTTTCAAATAAATCAGACATAGTCAGTGTCAGGGCTTCCCTCTCCTGCTCTACGGCTTAAGTAAAGTATTGATTATACATCTCACATTTTCTGCAGAGAGAAAAACCTGGTTATTCTTGGTGTGATTTTCAGTAACCACTATGGAAAGATTTCATTTTATATGAGGTTTACAGAGCATTTCCATCACTTTTTATGCTATCCACTCAATTTATTACTGCGTAATTCAATATCCTTACTCACACCCATGTGGTCTGCCAGCTTTTCAGTGATTTAGATACTACGAAAATCAAAGAATTGACTACTAAACAGCTTAAGAGTTTAACTTGCTGAAGGTAATACAGATTTACCAGTGAAGTGCTGAGAGCAGTTACTCCTTCCACAGCCCTTCTTCAAAAAGACGTGAAATGACTGCCAGTGGTTTTCACAGTTAATTACAAAGCTAAAACTGAACATCGCCACCAGTTTCAAGTGTCTGCTCATCTGATATGAGGCTGTGTTTAGTCAGCTAAGTACTATAAATTATATTAATGGTTAATCAACCTGTGGCTGTGGACAAAAAAGCATAAGCTCTCTAAGGGCTCAGGGGCATTTAATTTCCTGTGACAAAAAAACCTACCAAATCTTCAATTAGTGGAATCTTCCATGGTAAATCCGAAGAGCAGGGAATCTCCAGAAAGAACAGAAATTATAAGCATGAAGCAGAAAAGAAAAAGCAAATGTGAAAGTAGAGGTTGTGCAGTTTTCAAGGAATATGTGACTATAAGACTCAAGTACTGTAGATTTCTGTATTTCTAATGTTTTTCATGTAAAAGCCAAAATTCAAATGTTAAAGGAAAAACATGCAAATCTGGCAGCAAACTTTTTTTAAAGTGAAAGGATTTGACTTCTCTTACTATTTTTGTAAAAATGGATAGTCAATTTCAGAGCTTCTTGAATGGAACAACTGCATTTTTCCTATTTTTGGAAGCAATCTTTTCGGAAAAGTTCCAAAGCTTTCTCGTACCCTAAGCTGACCCTTCTGTCACCACTGTCGGCAGAGGCAAGACTGCTACTTGATAGGAATTGACTGCTATTATGATCCTGCTTGTCCATTTCTATTAACTGGCGCTCTGGTTAACATATGCACAAAGGGGAATTTTTCTTAGGGTTATTTTGTTTTTAAAACGTCTTATTATAAGGATTCTTCAAAATCTGATGATTTTGGCATGAGTAATAATGCACTTTTTTTTTTGCTACTGTCCACCACAAACGCACATACTTCCTAAGTAAGGGAACAAAGTATCAGAACTGTTTCAGTAAAATTAATCAAAGTTTCAGTAAAAATAATCTTTTAAAATTTTGAGATTGGGTGGTGGGTATACAGCTCTGCAAAATTTGACAGAAGTCATTCCAAAAAAACCCCCAAGAAACAGAGAGATATGAATCCAGTTTGGGGAAGCGATACAGGGGGTTATATTGAATTCTTGCTTATAACAAAATTGGGTTTGCATGTACTTTTTTAAGGCTGACAAAGACATCTGGCTGATACGACTGCCAGCAATGCTGGAGTTTCTGTGTAATCCTCTGCAGCTGGCAAGAGACCACATTTCTGAGGAGGGACCTATCTACGTGTATCTTTCATGGCCTCTAATCCCTGTACTACCTTCAGATGCAAGGTGAGAGCTGGCTTACCTTGTGAGTCAAGGAGTGCTGCTTCAGGTGGTGGGGCTGCACAAACTCCATGCCACATTCAGTGCAGATGTATGGGCGGATGTCTTTGTGCTTCATCATGTGGTTTTGTAGCTGACTTGGGTACTGGAAGGTCTTATCACACTCTGTGCAATTGTACTGTATAGGGCCACGGTGGGTGGTTAGGTGTCTCTTCAGCTGGGCCAGAGTTGGAAAGTCCAGACCACACTCCACACAAATGTTCTCCCGTCCACTCTCATGCTTGGATTCATGTGCTTTCAGCTCACTGGGGTAGGCAAAACCCCTGCCACAGATCCTGCAGTTGTAAGGTTTGATGTCACTGTGTTGCATCATGTGTCTTTTAAGGTGACTTGTTTGAGTGAAAGCCTTGTGGCACACCTGGCACTTATGTGGCCGAGTGCCCTGGTGTGTCAACATATGCGTGTGCAAGTGGCTCAGCTGCTTGAAAAGCTTGCCACATCGCGTGCAAGCATGTGGCTTAATGCCACTGTGACCCAAGATATGGGTGACCAAGTTGTACTTGGATGTATAGGACTTCTCACACATGGGGCATTGCCAGCGCTTCTGTTCACCCCCCACATCAACATAGTAGCTGTCATCTATCTGAAGGTTGACATCTACTCTTTCCACTTTCTGTTTATTTTCACCACTTTCTCTTACTTCAGCCCTCCTGAAGGGTGGTTCTGGAGGTCTTTTCATTTGAAAAGGGTTCCTGAAATGAAAATTTGGTGGTACAATGAAAGGAAACATTAAGCCAGGGTGGACTTTAGGATAATAAGGGTAAGGAGCCTGCATGAATGCTGGGCTACTGGGCCATGCCATGTTAGGCTTCACTGGTTCTTGCTTAATGGGTTTGGCTCCAAAATGCTCCAGAGTTCTGTAGAATTGAAAACCAAAGTTGCAGAGGTCAATCATCTGGGAACTGTACTTGGGCTGAGCTGGCTGTTGGAACACCAAGGGGAGACTGGAAGAACCTATGTCATTGTGATCCTCAGGTCGATCTGGTGATGATGAGGAATCCTCAGGAGTGATGGGAGGAGGCATTTTTGTTGGCATGCTCTTGCGTTTGCGAGACCCTCCTTCCAAGGACCCCTGGAATGTTTCCATGTTTTCAAGAGGAGGAGGACCGTAGCGGAAATGTGAGAGGTGTGTTCTGAATTCTTCATCAAATTGCGTTCTGTGTGGCTTTGTAACGGGGCTGAGAGGCTGCAGGCAGAGGGAGAAGGGAGAGGCTCGGGTATTGTCCACATTAAAACTTGTTTCTTCGTTCTTCATCATATTCAGTTTTCTTCTCTGTGGCCCAAATTCCTTAAAATAAGCAAAAGAAACGCCAAATCTGTTTATTTCTTCATGTTCTTCTGGGTTTAACATTCTATTGACCATTTTATTGTTTTGAAGGTTGTTGTGTTTTTTAAATAAATACAACTAAGGATTTCTTAGGTCCATATAGGACAAAGGCCTTTTAAAGCAGAATCAAACTGGTAAGTGAAAAGCAAAAAACTTTGGTCTTCCTGTAGCAGATTTGACCCACACAACATTTTTTACAACATAAACATACTGTAATGTGACACACTCTTTCACAGATGAACCAGTATAGCAATGTTTCTGCCTATGCCAAATCTGTTTATTTCTTCATGTTCTTTAACATTCTATTGACCATTTTATTGTTTTGAAGGTTGTTGTGTTTTTTAAATAAATACAACTAAGGATTTCTTAGGTCCATATAGGACAAAGGCCTTTTAAAGCAGAATCAAACTGGTAAGTGAAAAGCAAAAAACTTTGGTCTTCCTGTAGCAGATTTGACCCACACAACATTTTTTACAACATAAACATACTGTACTGTGACACACTCTTTCACAGATGAACCAGTATAGCAATGTTTCTGCCTAATTTTATTCAGTCTGTCTGTTTGTGGGCAAAATTCTGTCCTTGGCTGTGCATGAACAGGCTCTAGAAATTGGCGGCGCATCTAAAGGATATGGCAATACAAACAATAATATGCACATTTATTATGGTTGTGACATGAAAAGCCAAAGCCAAAAAATGTTAAACTTCTTTGTATCATTAACATGTGCTGCTGTGAGAGAAAACAATGGCCAAGTGATCTAAGGACACTGTGTACCATCAGGTTTTGCGCCATGTTTCCTGGCTGCTCGCACTTTGTATTGTAATAAGAAGGCGGAGATTAATTTATTTTCTTTGTTTTAATCACAGACATATTTGCCTGGCAGATCTGGGAGAGGAAAGACATTTGACAGCTCTCCAAATTACACTCAGTTTAACAGGCTTTATCTATGATTTTTTTGTTTGTTTGTTTGTTTGTTTCTAAACAGGTGGGCAAAATCACCACTATAAAACTAAATATAAAACTGATGTCAACAAAACCCCTGGGACTCCAGAGTAACTGACGCCTAAAAATGCTCTGAGCATATCTGATGATACAATGTAATGAGGCAGATTAATAATTTTCTCCTGGAAAAATTTTATGTTACACTGATCATACGGGGAACTTCATCTGAAATTGTGGTTCATCTAAAACATTGGTTATAAGTTTTGGTTAATCTTAAATACAGCTGCTACCTTTTCCCTTGTCCTTCTAGAGTCATAGAATCAGAAAACTTTCATTAGAAAAGACCTTTAAGATCATCAAGTCCAGCCAGTAATTGCCAAATCCACCACAAAACCATGTGCTTAAGTACTACATCTACATATATTTTAGATACCTCCAAGGATAATGACTCCATCACTTCTGTGGGCAGCCTGTTTCAGTTCTTGACCAACTTTTCAGTGAAGAGGTTTTTTCCCTGGAACAACTTGAAGCCATTTCCTCTTGTCCTGTCACTTGTTACCTGGGAGAAGAGAGAGACAAATACCCACCTGGTTACAACCTCCTTTCAGGCAATTGTAGAGAGTGATAATGTTACCCCGGGGCTCCTTTTCTCCAGGCTAAACAACCCCAGCTCCCTCAGACACTCTTTACAGGACTTGTGAAGCAGACCCTTCATTAGCTCCATTGCCCTTCTCAGGACATGCTCCAGCACCTCAACGTCTTTCTTGGAGTGAGGGGTCCAAAACTGAACACAGGATTTGAGGTGTGGCCTCACCAGTGCTGAGTACAGGGGACAATCCCTGCCCTGCTCCTGCTGGCCACACCATTGCTGGTCCAGGCCAGGATGCCATTGGCCTTCTTGGCCACCTGGGCCCTGCTGGCTCATGTTCCGCTGCTGTCAGCAGCACCCCCAGCTCCTTTTCCTGTGGCAGCTTTGCAGCCACTCTGCCCCAGCCTGTGGCACTGCCTGGGGTTGCTGTGACCCCAGGGCAGGAGCCAGCACTGGCCTTGTTGAACCTCACACCACTGGCCTTGGCCCATGATCCAGCCTGTCCAGATACCTCTGTAGAGCCTTCCTGCCCTCCAGCAGATCAGCACTCCCATCCAGTTTGGAGTAATCCATAAACTTAGCAAGGGGACACTTGATCCCCACATTCATCCATAAAGATATTAAACAGGGCTGGGCCTGGTACTGACCCTGGGGCAACACCAATGGTGGTCATCTGCCAGTTGGATGTAGCTCCACTCACTACCATTCTCCAGACCAGGGCATCCTGCTATTTTTTTACATAGGAAACAGTGCACCCATGAAGCCATGAGCTGTCTGTTTCTCTGGAGAATGCTGTGGGAAATGGTGTGAGAAGATTTGCTGAAGTCCAGGAAGACAGAATACATAACTTTTCCCTTTTCCACTGAGTCATAAAAGGAGGTCCTGTATGGGAAGTAGAACTTGCCTTTCATGAACCCATGCTGGCTGAGCCTGATCCCCTGATGAGCTGTTCTGTACATGCTGTATGATGGCACTCAGTATGACCTGATCCACAATCCTCCTTCCAACCCTTCTTGTAGGTGGGAGCCATATTTGCCATCCTCCAGTTAACTGGGACCTCCTCAGACATCCAGGAGTGCTGGTAAATTATGGAAAGTAGCTCGGTGAGATATTTTCACCAGCCTTTTTGGCACCCTTGGGTGGATCCCATCATTCCCACAGACTTATGTGGGTCTAAGTGTTGTAGCAGCTTGCTGATTATTTCCCCTTGGAGTATGGGGGCTTCATTTGGTTCCCTGTCTCTGTTTTCCAGCCTGAGCTCCCTGAGAACAACTGATCTGCCTATGTAAGATTGAAGCAAAGAAGGCACAAAGTACCTCAGCCTTTTCTTCACCACTCAACACTAAGTTTCACCCCACATCCAACAAAGAATGAGGATTCTCCTTGGCCCTTTTTTTTACTCAAATGTATATATGAAAACATTTTGTGCTATTTTTTGTGGGAGTAGCTGGATTAAGTTTGAGTTGGGCTTTGGCCTCTCCAGTTTTCTCTCTGCATAAATTCTGAGGGATGCACTTATATAAATGTGTGTATTTGTGTGCATGTATCTAGCCAACCAGACAAAGGTTAGGTTGGAAAACACATTTTCCCTCTATCATCTCTGACATGTTGATTCTATTTATAACATCATTCCTGGAAATGCTGGGTGGAGAGCATGAAGGTGAGTGGAGCACTAAACACACTCCTATTTCTATTTTAGGAAGTTCCATGCTGGATGAGTCTTCTTCCAAAGATAGATGAAAGCACATCTCTGTGACCTAGTTAAGCCATGGGCAAGAGAAGACATCTTAAAAAACTTTGTGCAAACAGACTGTTTCCTTCTAATACTGTAGACTCAGTAATTATCTTTGAGATAAAAGTGTGAAACTAAAGGCTCAGTGACAAAACTCTAAGACGGAAAGTTTAGACAAAATGATCAAACAACTCACAAAGAAGGAGGACTAACTGAAGGAAAAGTGAAGGATATATAAACTTATGACTCAAAAACCACATTGGATAGAGGGAAAAGATAAGATAAAATAATTGCTTACAACAAAAAGTGAAGGATATATAAACTTATTACTCAAAAACCACATTGGATAGAGAGAAAAGATAAAATAATTGCATACAACTTGGACATGTATCTCATAATTATACCACAAGATTACTTTCAGTCACGAGCGCACTGACTGGAAATAGTGCACATATATATAAACAATATCAATTCAAGTAATCATGGAATATCCTGATTTGCAAGGGAACCAGAAGGATCATCAAAATCCAACTCCCGGCCCTGCACAGGACACCCTCAAGCATTACACCATATACCTGGGACACCCTGAGTTGTCCCAATGCTTTTTAACTATGTCAGGCTTGGTGCTGTGACCATTTCCCTTGGAAGCCTTTTCCAGGGCAGAACCATCATCTGTGTGAAACAGCTACTCTTGATATTCAAACCAAATGTCCCCTGACTCTGTAACAGGCTGTTTCCTCAATTCCTGGTCACTGGTCACCAGAGTGAAGAGACTGGTACCTGCCCTGCTTCCTCCCCTCATGAGGAAGTTGTACACTGCAATGAGGTCTTCCCTCAGTCTCTTCTTCTTCAGACTGAAAGGGACAAATTACCTCAACTGCTCTTCATAGGGCATCCCCTCAAGGCCCTTCACCATCTTCATTTATATCCTTCATATAATGTGGTACTAAAAACTGCACCCTATGATGTCTATGTGCATGCATACATATATATATAATATATGTGTGTATGTTTCATCAGAGAGAATTTCTACTGGGTATTTATACTAATGTTTCCTTGTCACCCTAGGTCCCTAGTCAAAATAAGCAACAGTTAGATCTTGAAAACTCTTTGGGTACAGAGGTTTGGCTTATTAAAAAGGGAGAAGGGGAAAGGAATCCCCCAAGTATTGAAAAATCCTCAATTTATTTCCAAAAAAAAGAAAAAAAGCTTTTAAAACTCATTTTTAGCAGAGTAAACTCACACAATTTGAACACAATGCTTATAGATCAAAATCTTCCCTATGAAGTATGTGCCTCAAACATCTTCCAACTTTGCCTCATTTTTCCCCAGCAATAAGGGTACAAAATTCTTAAGAAAGTGCAGAGCAATTGAGGACCCAGTTATGTTCTTTACTGCTTTTGTTGGATTATTGAAATGCTGCCAAAAGTACACAGAAATGACAGTGAGTTGTTTCTAATTGCTTTCTTGTTTCTTGGCTGCCAGTTACTCCCCTCTTCCACATCGAGTTTTGCGTGACATTTCACTCTTTTGCAACTCAGAGCTGTAGAACGAACCCCTTGAAATTACCAGAAAGAAACATTTTCCTTGCACTACTAACCTTTGACTACTTTCACTGAGCACATGAGCTTATTCCATTGGCCACAGCTACAGGCATCACAGGACCAATCCTACAAGGGAAAGTGTTTATAGTCAGTAACCAGCACAATCAGAGATATGCTGTATAATCCAACACCAAGTCTATATCTGGATCACCTTGTTGGTTTTTCTACCCCTGAAACCACCATGATATATACATTAATTATTTCTTCTTTCATTCTGGTGGCAACACCTTGCTAATTTGAAGGGAGGCATGATCTTAACTATGTCCAGAACATAATTCCACAAAAAAATGAGTTCTGAGGAAACCACAGAAGAGACGACAGGTTTTACCCCAATGCAAAATATACTGAGGGAACAGTCCCTTGTTCTTTAAATAGCTTCAGCAGAGAACTTTAATGTTTTAGTCCAGGTCCACAGTACTTTTTTTCTACCTGACCCTGGAGTAGCAGGTGTCATTTTAATACTCAACACCAGGGAGTTTGAACTTAAATTTTTTTTTATTACTTTAATATTTATTTTTATTTACATATTTTTAAATTCAAATATCACCTAGGGACCTTTTGTGTTTCCTATATAAGAACTTTAAACTTCTTTCTTTCTGCACAACTTATTATTTAAAATGTAGTGCTATGTAGTATGATTCTAAACATTCATGGTCATAGAAAATTCTATCTTTTATCAGTGGTAGGTAAGCTACTAAGTTTGAAAAGTTGGTTTGGAAACTCACTGAGACAGAGATTTCCATGCTGTACTGGTCCTTCCACATAAACTGAATGCCCACTAAACTGAGCACTCCAGAACTAAAGTCAGTTTCTGAAGAAGAGACAAGCATCCACAAATTTTATTTCTTTATATAAATGGAAATACAGTATTTTTGAAGAATAAAACTACAAATTAACTCTTCCTGTCCTTTCAAAACAAGAAAAGTTAGAGTGAGTTGAGATAGTTTTTGAGGAATTTCTATGCAACAGCTAATATTTTTGCTAACTTCTATGAAAGAGGAAGAGAGTTTAATGCAGAATATAAATCACCATTTACTTTCTCACGTTCTCTCATTTCTAAGACAAAGGATTAGAGAAAGCATGTAAATGATGCTATTCACTCTACAAGCAAATATATTGTCACAGTCTCCAGTACTGGAGTCAACAGCAAATTTTCTTAAGAATTCAGTAGAATCAAGATTCTGTTTCCTGGACAAAAGTACTTTCTGCCTAAAGACTAATAACATGTCCAGCCATAAAAATGGGAGGTTATGAAGTTTCTCCAATTTAAACACTGACTACAACTGTTCTGATTTTTCTCCTGGACAACACAACCATAAAGCCAGAAATAAGGCTAAAATGAGTGAAAGAGATACGACAAAGGTTAATGGGTTACTTTATTAGGAGGTCTGCACTTATGTTTGCTCTTTCAGAAGAAGATGAAACACACAAAGTGGAATAAGTCAAAAGGGGGCTAAATTGGCCAAACAGCTTCTCTTCTCTGGAAGAGAAGTTCCATGGTTAATTGAACAAGTAGGACTGCAGAAACCATGCCCTGTAAGAGTGCAATTCTGCTCTCCTTGTGAGGCCTGAAATATGGGCGCCTGTAAGCAAAGAATCAAAACTAACAGCTCTTTCTGTTGGATGTGGTAAGAATTCCTGACAAATTTAACACTATTACATTTCTTGAGCTGGAGTTGAGCAGTTGGCGAGCTTCAGCTTTACTGAACAACCAGCTGGAGTTTTTTTCAATCACTGATTCTTGTCAACTGTTATTATGGCAATAATTATCATTATCTTAATAGGTTTAATGAGCTCTCAGTCTGCTCTTCCAAATATGTTTTGGTTTTTAATGTATTCAGTTATACAGCTGTTGAACTAAGGAGAAAATTATTTACATAGTTTTCTCTCATCTGCTATTTATGCAAAATTTACATCTGTCTCAGTATCTGACTGAGGGATTTTATAATACTGAATTAATTTCATTTCAGCAGTGAAGCATTCTCCCTACTGAATCTAGACAGCTTTAACTTATTTGTCTGACTTTGAAAATGCCAAGAACACCTGTATTAAGGTGAAAATGTCCATTACTGTTAACCAAGTATTTTTGAGTAGTACACATCTCATCCCTCCTTACAATTTTCCCTGCTATCTTCCTTCATTGAAAGCATGAATCCTTCTAGGCAGAAAGTAATAAAACATATCGATGCCCATATCAGAATTTCTCTAAAATCAGTGTCAAACCTACCATCCTATTCTTTAGGGAAGTCAGTGCAAGCAGCACTCTCCATTCCTGTTCTCCAGGCATAAATATCCACATTTCAAGCAGAACATTTTGAAAAACGGACCCCATTAACACATACGGAGTGTATGTTAATAAATTCAATCTGACTATATAAACTCTGTGCATATTATGTGCATGTATAACTAAGATGTATTAAGACACCCAAATCGGCCTTCATGTTTCTATGCTACAATGTTTGAAGTTAACCTGAAAGATTATATATGTTTTAAATTAAACTTCTTCTTCTGTCACAGTTTGGAGTTGGGAGAAGACAAAAATTTGGACTACCTTGTGAAATTTGGACTACCTTGTAAAAAAAATATGGATTTGTAGAAAGTATTCAAAATCAATGAGTGCAGTTTTTGATGAGGAGACACAAATATGGTGGAAGTTTTTAGAAAAACAAACCTGAGCTGAGAATAATAGTCATTGAGTTTAGTCAAATACTTTGCAATACCACTCCTACAAACACTTATTTCCTCAGTCTCACATGCATTGAAGTGAGATGTCAAAGGAAGTCCATGACTTAACCATTAACTTAATTGTCTATGGAGATAAGGTTTCTTGCTCCATGTCTTTTACAAGGCGTATGTCTGCTTAAATGGAGAGGGCTATCAAGATAAAGATACTGCCATAAATATTTCTCTTCCTTTTTTGGATTATCATCACTAATAGAACTGGAATTAGAAATAAGTAAGCAATTGTTCATGAACACGATCTGGACTGAAAATGAGAAGTGGAACAGATTAGGTTTTTTCTTCCTACATTAGTATGATAGTACTAAGAAGATCAGTGTCTTTTCACTTCTCCCTGGGAAATTACCTTCATCTGCTGGTAGCAGGCTTCAGGATAAAACTTCTTCTTTCCATCAACAAATGTCAGGTTTTTCTCTAAGTGAATACTTTGTAAAATAAAAGTGATAACCTTTGTAATTCTTCACAGGACATAATCAGACCTCATTAAGGCCTGTGGGAAGACTTCCAACGGCACCTGAAAGTATTTCTCACAGTTTGCCTTATTATTTGTTATGGGTTCTGTTGCTCAATGAGATAGGAGCCCACCTATTCCTCAAACAAATGAAAAAAATACTCATATCCTCAGAACATATGTCAGCAGGTGGCAACCTTTGCTGACAAGCTTAATGAAAATCAAAGGAAGTTAGCTGATTAAAAATCTGACACAGTAAACAGATACAACAAGTAATGAACTTTCAAGGACATCTTATTTATTAAATTATTTTTTATCTTCATTTGCTATTTTGGTATCATCCTAGATTCTAGTTTGAAGATCAGTCATTTTAGATATTCCTTCTGGTCTAAGGGCTTCCTATCCAGCATAGTTGCATTAATATTGTCTGGGAGGTGTCACCAATACAAAGAAATGGGTCTTCTCAAAGGAAACTGTGCAGTAGAAATATTCTCCCTTCATTGTCTTTGCTTCTCCCAAATTTTAATATTTTAACTTGCATAATTTTTTGTATATTAGCTGAGAAATGCAGAAGTCAAACATACCCATTTGCCTGCACTGTCTTTGAAATCCAGATAGATTTGTATGTAAATCTCATTTGTTTCATTGTTTGTATTCATTTTTAGTGAGCAAGACACTATGAGCACTTTCACAGGAGTATAGTTACTTTGGTGTTCATTGTAATAGAGGAAATCCCTTAAAATAGTATCAAAATGATACACATTCACTTTTCCATAGCTTACAGATAATTTTTTTTTTTTTTACTGAGCCTTTCCATAGCTTACAGATAATTTATTTTTTTTTTATATAATTACTGAAAGTATTGAACAAGACTTTCAGATTTCCTCTGATGAAAGTCTGGAGCAGTCCCACCATGTAGCCTACTTAAGCTGGGGTACTGTTTATGGCATCAGATGTGTTTATACGGTTTATGGAATAATTTGTGTTCCATGTTTGAATTGATTCAATTTAAACCAAAAATAAGTTGACAGATGCTGTAGTGAGGTAGCTGCAGATTTACTTCTTCTCTCCAGTGTGAGTGCTTAGTTGTCAGTTTAACAAAATGGTTGCTATACCTCTTGTTGCTTTTATGTGTGCTCTGTCCTTATTCCAGAGACACCTTTGTTACCATTCTCTCTACCCTTCTGCCACCTAACAAGGGAGTGGGCGAGGGTGACAGAGCAGAATGTCTAGGCTACCCACAGACAATCTACCTACCCTAGGGGCTTACTGGCAATGCCTCTAGCAGTTCTTAGCCCTGTGGACCTCTCTAGTTATTTCGGGTCATGAACAATGTCGTTTTTGAGTATAGTTTAAAGTGCTAGTTTGGATCTTTATTTTTCTTATCCTTCTTTGTATTTTTTTTCTTCCTCTTAATGATTTTTCTTAGTCCTTCTCTTCCCTCTTCATTTCTGTATTCCATCTGTTGTTCACCCCCTCTCTATGTCTCTATTCTGTTTGCTAAAATGATCAGCAACACAGAGACAGTCTGCATAATGAAATGAATGTTGAGTCAACAGACTCTGAATTGTTACCTCTTTACATAAAGTCACCCCAAACCACAGCTACACATGATGGCAGCTTGCAAGGAACAGCACATTAAATGGTCTTACAGTGTGTAAATGGACCAAGATTTTATGTCCTCATCGGAGCACCTGCATCTGCCTGATTTGCTGGTACTGACATGGGATTCAAAGCAGCGTTGGAGCGCAGGGCGGAGGGAACAGCCGCGCGCTGGAGGCCTCTGGCTCCACCGCGTAGGCCCAACTCTTCTGGGCCCACAGCAGGCTGGGCTCCGGCCCTGCCTCCTGCTTTTCGCTGCTGCTCCGCAAAAACC